GAGAGAGAGAGAGAGAGAGAGAGAGAGAGAGAGAGAGAGAGAGAGAGAGAGAGAGAGAGAGAGACGTGTGGGACAAGGTCAGAGAGAATGAAGCTGAGCGACACAAGCATTGAGAGAGAGAGAGAGCTATGAATCCCCTGCGGTCGCGGTCGCCGTGAGGCCGTGAGGCCGCGGTCATGACCGCGGTCCGCGGTCATGAAAAAAAAAAAGACAAGAAAAAGAAATCAGAAAAATCTGAAAACAATATATGTTATGCCCAAAAATAAACTGAACAACTTTTGCCTTGGGGTCCTATCAAAATTTGTTACCACATTTGAGATAAAAMTCAAACCAAATCCTTTATTTTTCTTTCTAAAGAATAAAGTGAAGAACTTTTGCCTGAGGGATTTCTGTTTTTCATTTTTGTAAAATAAAAAACGAAGTCAAAAAATAAAACTAAAAATATACAGTTGTAGAGCGCATGAGAACCTACAACCCCATATTTTTTATTTTATTTTTTGGCCTATTATCCCAGGATTTAAAAATGTCGGGGTTTTCCGACCGCACTTGGCTGTGGGCGCTGCCCGCTGCGGTCGGGATGCCGACCGCGTGCGGTCAAATGGCCCGCGACCGCGGGTGATACATAGAGAGAGAGACAAGAGAGAGAGAAACAGGGACTGGGGTACTTACCGTGCCGAAGCTGGGGATGAGTGCAGCGGCTGCGGTCATAGCTGCTGGCTACCCAAACTCTTTCTTTGCGTGATATTGATCATTCTCCATCGTGTTGATCCGGTTTCATCTCATGACCTCGTGTGAACTGAGTGCGGCGGCTGCGGCCATAGCTGCTGGCTACCCAAACTCTTTCTTTCAAATTGCATGATATTGATCATTCTCCATCGTGTTGATCTGKTTTCATCTCATGAACTCGTGTGAACTTAGTGCGAACCGGTTTTGGGGAGTTGAGTAGGKYAGTGCATTGCACAACTAACAAGGTGACCCATGTGGCATGGAAAATTCAGTTTCAATTGGTATTAACTYTTAAGATGTTTTTCCTTTRWGTAGGTTCAGGGTCTGGTTCGCCAGTATCAACTTTCAACATTGCTGACCTTGGATGCTCCTCAGGCAGGAACTCCATTCAACAGATGGCCATGATTATTTCARCTATTCAAAAGAGGTCTTGGATTCGTTCTGGTGCTGTTGAAAAGGGTCCAACGAATCAAGSTTGTGTGATAACCTCGCCAACGAGGCCACCTAGTTGCCGAGACAGGGATGCAGACAGTTCTGGACAGAAAGGACAGAGGGAGAATGATTACCACCATCAAGAMCCAGAAAATCATGGTTGTGTGGTAACCCCACTCACGAGGCCACCTTGTTGCCCCGACATTGATGTGAACAATTCTGGGCTGAAAGGGATTGGAGGGGATGATCACCATCATCAGTACCCACGAAGTCCTTTGGAGCATCACAATTTCAACGGGACAGTTCCCGATCGTCCTGCTGCCATGGTCTTCTTCTCAGATCTGCCATCAAATGACTTCAACACTCTCATCAAGACTTTGTGTAGTACACCATACACRTCTGCGCTATCACCGTTGGGTGGCCCTAGAGGAAGCGCACAATCGCTCTTCCAGAGAGAAGGGATACCTGTGGCCGTTCTTCCCGGGTCCTTTTATGAAAGGTTGTTTCCGCCGCGCTTTCTTCATTTGGTAACATGTACCTTTGCCCTGCACTGGATGTCCAAGCTCCCAGATGGACTGGCCTTTGCTGGTAGCCACAGAAACTCGGAGCTCTGCAATCCAGGAACAATATGGCTACATGCATCACAGTYGCAGGCGTGCATTGACGCGTACACTGCCCAAGCAAAAAGTGATATGGTTAACTTTCTTGCACACASAGCGCAGGAAATGGTGTCAGGGGGTGTGTTATGGATGTTGATGGTGGGCAGAACAGATCCGGATCCCRCATGTCGAAATGTGCCWGCRAACTACGGCAAACAATTTCTAAAACTGCCTGATGATGCCTGGCGAGCGCTCATCGCCAAAGGTTCCTTAACCCAAGAATCCCTTGATAGGTTCAATCTTCCTGTCTATTTAAGGTCTACAGAGGATATCCAGGAGGCAGTAGATGCCCTAGATGGACACCCCTTCCAGATCGAACATCTCTGTTCTGTTCCCATTTTATCACCTGTTGATGAGCATTACAGGCAAAAYAGAGATGAAGAGGAGTTTGCGGAGAAGGTGGTCGGACAAGTGAGAGCTGTATATGAGCCAATGATAGCATCAGCGATAGGGAAAGAAAATGCCAACAATCTGATGGAGGAGATGAAGACCATMCTRCRCGCAGAAGCGGACCAGTACCTCGGCGAGAGGGTAGGCACAGCAGTTATACTGCGCCGTAGGTAATGTGGCAGGCCGGAATCACAGTAATGGAGCCTTCAATCACGTCCCTTCTTACAACACCTGCTGAATTTTGGGAGTCAAAGGCCTCTTCACAAGTAACAGGACCATAATTACACGCACAGACATGTGCACACACCCCAACATATAGACATGCACACAATAAAGATTATAATGCTGTTTCAATTTTGGATCCGCGCATCACACACACGAAGGGGTTGTTGTGGTGACAGTTTACACACACACGCACACACACACCGTGACACATGCACACACACACACACACACACACACATACAAACACACACACACACATTGTCAAACACAACGCGCGCGCGCGCGCGCGAGAGAGAGAGAGAGAGAGAGTTCTGGTGACATTTTACACACACACACACACACACACATGCAATGACTTGCTGTTTTCTGGTCGCCTGTAGCCTCTCTCTGTCGAGGCTGTACTATAGGTAGAACAGATTCACAATTTTGTTTGGCTGAGGGCTAACCGAGAGACCTACCTGTGAGGGACATATCTGCAAATCCGGGAAAATACAGGCCCGGTACTAACAGGATTCCCTACAGCTACCCTAACTGCGAATAGCAGGCCCGGGCTACCCCTAGGACAGACAGGCCCTAAGGGCCTATTCTGATAGACGGTCCTATAGCCTATAGCCGGGTCCAGTAGAGGCCGAGAGGCCGAAACAGATACGGCACCGGTYGGTCAGTCAGYCCGGTCTAGGTCGAGTCTAGGCTAGTTGTAGTCTATAGATAGAATGGGCACATCGGTTCAGGGCTTTTGGCAGTTGGTACCGAGTACATCGCTGCTGCGTTACGCTTGAACCGGAAGTGGTGACGGCTCAGCGTGGAAGGAGACAGGCATAGCCAGACCTTCGGAGCGCCGGCCATAGCTGGGACCTGCGCTGTACTCTGCCAGCACGCAGGGGCTGACAGAGGTCTGGGCCATCGAGGTCTGCTGGAGGCGAGAGAGATTGGTGCCCTGCTGGACCCTCCTCCGGAGTGGGGTTCCAGGTTTGCGGTGCTGCAGCCATAGCTGCAGCTTCTTCCTCAGAGGTCATCTTGTCAGGGTT